CAGCACCCGCGGAAGGGAGCGAGGGAGGGGCGGCGGGGCCGCCGGCTCCTGCCCTCCGCTAGGTAGGATCGCCATGAGATGGGATCGCCGCCGCGGCCTGGGTGAGGGTGGGGAGGGGGCGGAAAAGGGAGCCGGCGCTCCGGGTGAGGCGCTCCCCGAGCTGAGCGCTGGGCAGCCGCCCTCGGCTCCCGGCGGGGCGCAGCCCGGGCTCCGGGGAAAGGAGTTCTGGCACGGCTGGGAACGCCGGGCTGGAAGAATGCAGGACAGCGGTAGCGATGAGCCACCCGGTCTTCCAGGGAGTTCTCCTTCACTCCTTGACTCCCCCGTCTTCGTGTAGCGAAGTGTGTATCCTATGCGACCTGTTAGGCCGGGAGCGTGGGGAGATACAGCAGTGGGCTGCTTTGGGGAAACGCGTGTGTGTTGGTGTTCAGTTGGCAGATAGATCTATCTATTTATGTACGTGTAGAAAAATGAGTATTTATGTATGAAGGATCCGTTTTGATAGGATATTTCTTAGGTGTTCATGTGCATTTAGCTATATCTGATTCAAGATCAGAAATCATAGCTTTATGTTGTTCTCTGTGTGTGTGTATATTGATATTTATACATCTAAGGAATATAAAAATATTACTCTTGCCAAGCTGCCCTCCAGTCTTCTGTCAAAGTGTGTTTTTGTTACAGCCTAGATATGTATTTATGTGTCTGCTGAGAATGGTGCTAATGGTGTATGTGAAATGCTTTGTTAGATTGCATTCTGAACAGTGGAACAGAGCTTAAGCAGGAGAAAGTGCTATGTGTGATTTTTATATCACTGCAGTTTTGGGTGTTATCTGCATTATGGTTGCTATACAGAAACATTTCCGTCTTTCTTCTGACCCTCTTCAGGCATCTATTGCAGAATTCTCAGATAGTTGAGGGGACAAAATGAAATGTAAACTGTTTTGCCCTCTGTTCCTCCCTTATCTGTTTATACTGTAGGAACACTCTCATGTTCCTCACACTTACTGCATGGCAAGATAGTGGAGTTGATATATTAAACTCTGGGGTCAATTCTCTGTTTTTGCCTTTGCAATGTCTTGTAGCTGGAGACTGATCCTCAGCCACACAATTTTGAGAGATGTTTGTTTCATGTAAGTATCATGTAATCATCCTTGTGTTTGATGAGATTTGACTGTTGCAGTTGATGTTTCACAGTTAGGCATTTCATTGAGCCAAATTCATATCTCTAAAAACCTGGCATAATGCAGTTAATAGGTGATATTGTCTTTACTAATTTAGGTGGCTTAGATGATGGGAGGTATGCTGCTCAGCATGTTGTGGGTCTGAGTGGTGCAGGTAAGGTGAGAGTGATGTGTACAAGCTTCTTGGGCTGATGCTTTTCCCCTAAGCACAAGGCAGTGGAGAATGCAATATAGCCTGCATTTTACATTATTAAAGATAAGTGGAATTATGGTCATGGTGGTCTGTGGAGGATGCTATGTGGGGGGGTTGCTTGCCCAGTTTATTCTTTTCCCTAGCATTTCCTTTGGGGAATACTGTGGTGGAGGGTTGGAGGAGTGCCTCTGTAACACTTCTGAGAACTTCAGGTTCCACAGAGAACACATTCAACTATTAATCTGCTTCATCTTCACCAGCTGTGTATCAGTGAGCTATAATTCTATCAATTTTAATGAACTGCATGAAGGGATTCTCTCTCCTGCTCATATGCAAAGACACAATATCTGTTTCAGGTGGTCTTTCTGACCCTTTCCAAGTGTACCTTTTGCAATGTTGGAGAAGTCTTTCTGTGGGCTTCCACACATACCAGTGGTATGGGCTTTGCTTAGAGATCATTCCTTTAAGAAAGTGTGTGGAAAGGTTTATGTATGCTAGTTTTTATGTGTTAGTATGCTAGGTACTATATGTATATCATTAATGGAAAACCAGTGATTAAATGTAGAGCTGTGAAGAAGTGCTGCATATCCAGCAGTCTCCAATTTCAAGACCGTGGAGAAAGCAAAAAAACACTGTAATGGATATTGTACCCATGGGGAGAAATCCTTCCTACTGTCAGGCAGTTAGCTTTCAATTTCTGTCACAAGGTGTCTTTCTGCACAAATTCATAATCTAATTTAACAGCAGATATAGCTGTTTTTCCATTTAAGCATCTAATCTCTTCCTGAATTATGCCAGGGTATGACCACTGAGTGTTTTTCAGGATGATGTGACTTTGTACTGAGCAGATTGAAATTGAGTAAGTCCAGTAGGAGATAATATGAATGTTGTTAATCTAATGCCAGTTTTCAGCCAGTTGACCTTGATGAAGAGGCAGTTCAAAGGTTCTTTCCTGTCCTGATGGATTTTCTTTGGGAAATCTGTCCTCTGTACAGTTTAACTGTGTTGCATGTGGCAAGGAGTTTCCTAGTAAAATACAGATGGATTTTAGAGAAATAAAATGTACTCAGTTATCTTAGATTGGGCTCCAGAAGTTTGCATCTTAGGGGAGCATGTGCTTTAGCTGTTTCTTACAAGCAAGTGATTTTCTGAGCAGCACAGTTAGTGAAAATTTCTGTGAAGTTGTGTCTTGAGGTCAAAATTTGATGTTTTTCTTTGTCTTTCCATGTACCTCTGCATTTTTTCCATGTAGCTTCCTCTTTCCACAGACTGGACTGATTTCATGACACATGGGGTGCCATTTTCAATTATGGAAACTGGATGGCATATTTTAAGAGGTTTGAGCCTAAAGATGTTCAAATTGCAGTTTTGCCTTCTCTGGCCTGGCTTACTTTACAAAAGTCGTGAGAACTTAATTACCTTCTGGTAATCTGTTCTTCTCTGGTTAAAATCAGTGAATGGCTTAAACGGTACATAAGTGAGAAAAAATCTTTTAGCAGAGATTTTCTCTACAGGAGAGCAGACTAACAATAGGCATAAAAACTTGACATGGTCATGTGGGTAAAAAGACTTCCCCTTGTCTAGAAATGGATTTGCAGCATCCAACTGCAGTAAAGCTCTTTTCTTGAAGGTGATAAAATAGCAAGACAAATGGAGAGAGTGTTTATGTATTTTTTCTGGCTATCTGCTGTTGTACCCATGCCCCTTATGCAAGCTTTTTATCCTGCAGTGTGTGTTATTGTATCTCAGGCAGTCACTGGGTGTTTGATATTCTAATCTCAGAAATGGTCAATTAACTTTGTTGACGTTAATACTTATTGGCAGAGACTGGATCAAGCAATATCAATCTGTGAACAGCTTTGAAAGCTTTCATAAATTAGATGGTGTTCTAGGTCTGGTTTTATCACAGTAGAGTGTGATACAAAAAACATTACCTAAAATCCTAGTGCATCTGTTTGACTTCAGGTGTCAGAATGTTATTTCTTCTACTGTATGCTTTGTTCATTAATGAAGGTAGTATTTATCACCTGAAGGCCATAAATCAGAGTTTGTTTCTCATGTAAGGGAAGTGGGCTCAGAGAACTTCTACAGTAAAACTTAAATTTTAATGTAGAAGTTTTGCATTGTCTTCCTCCACAGTGTTTGCATTTTGAGTACTATTAGTACTAGAGTGTCAAAAGTAAAATGTCGTTACTTTAAATGCAGCAAATTACAAGGGACAATAACATAGAAGTTTTGCAACTCTTTTTGTAGCTAGTGTTGTAGGCTGAGGTTAAAACTTTTTTTTTTTTTTTTGAGACAACCTCATGTTTTATGTGACAGCTATCCTCTACATTTCAAAAACAGAAAGTGTCTGCAATTTCCTTTGAAGTGTGATCATTTCTGTGTTCAGCACTTCTGAGATCAGTGACCAAGATTCCTGCATAGTATGTTTGCAAATTTGGTCTCCAGTCTGCATGCTTTGATGCTTAGGTAGAGATCATATTACAAGAGTCATCGTTAATTTTTTTAATTTATTTTTAAAGTATTAGATACTAAATAGCAGTATTAACAATTGCAACAGTTCAAGTAATCATAACTAGCATGTCTTCTACATCCTAGCACTGACTTAAATGTGGTCATGGCTTTGTCCCATTAAGTTTTTCTTAAAAAAAAAACAAAACAAAGGGGCAATATTTAAAGGCTTGACCAATCCATGAAAACTATGAATCTTGTGGGTTTAAAATGTGTGATTTTCTCCTTAGTAGAGAGAGATTATTTTTTTTTTCTACTGACAATTGAGACTTTTTCAATAATTACTGTAGTGCAGGAAATGGCACTGTAAGAAAATTTGACCAAATCCTTAGAACTGCAATTCAACAATGATGTTTTGAATCAATTAATTTTTCCTTTTAATTTGAGGATGTAGCATATAAGCGGAAAAAAATTGGTCTTAGTTTCAGCTCAATCCTATAGCAAAGCTTTTTGTAGTTTCAGTATACTCATTTTTGACCTTGTGCAAGTTCAAAATAAATACATTCTTGTGTTCTGTGCAATTATGTGATCCAGGTTAAACTATCCATGTGATAATCTTTCTTCGATCTCTCCTTTTAATTTCCTCAAGTTTCTCCAGAAGCATCAACCTGAACTTGCAAATTGTCCCTCTGCTGCACAGGGATGCCTCAGTAGCTGGAGCCTGCTGTGCAGTGCAGCTTTCTTCCAGAAGAAGCTGTGATTGCTTTCTTCCAGAACGACATTTGAAGGAAGTAGGCAGTCAACTGAGACCACACGATTTTGTCACACAGGCCTTCAGTCAGCAGTTGGGCAGTAGCAAATTTGGGTTCTGCAGGCTGAAGATTTATACCACCTTCTCTGCAGTTGTATGTGTCTTTTTTTTGCAAGCAGGTTGCTAAATCTCTTTTTTGCTTATTCCATGCAAAGCTCAAAACTGATGTTATGTACACCCATTGGATAGTTTTTTTTCTGTGACTTATTTTCCTGTTGGGAAAAAAGTAGTTAAATACTAGAAGATAGATGGATAGATAGATATGGATAGATAAACAGACAGATAGACAGACAGATGGATAGACAGACAGGCAGACAGACAGAGAGAGAGAGAGAGAGAAAACAACCCTTCATGGCAGGCAAATGACAGGCTAGATGAAAATCCAGAGGATGATGCAAGGTTGCTTTGTCTTGCCTCTGTGCT